GGCCGCCTTAAATCATGCGGGAAAGCTCCGGGACCAGACGGAGTCCCGGGGAAGGCCCTGCATATCGCCCTCGAGCACCTCGGCGACCGCCTCAGACAGATCTTTAACGACTGTCTGGAGGCCGGCCGATTTCCAAGGCGCTGGAAAGAGGGGAGGCTGTGCCTGTTGCGGAAGGAGGGGCGCCCGCCGGAGTCTCCTTCCGCATACAGACCCATAGTCCTGCTCGACGAGGCCGGGAAGTTGTTCGAGCGCATCTTGGCCTCTAGAATCGGTGAACACCTCACCGGGAGGGGCCCAGACATTTCCCGGTGCCAGTTCGGATTCAGGACCGGACGGTCGACACTGGACGCCATCAAGGCTCTGAGGGTGTTCACCAATGAGGCGGCCGCCAATGAGGAGGGGGTTGTCGCGGTATCGTTGGACATCGCCAACGCATTCGGCACCCTCCCTTATGGCGTAGTGGAGGAAGCGCTCCGATATCACAGGGTGCCCCTCTACTTGCGTAGATTGGTGCGACACTATCTGGCGGACAGGGTGGTGCTCTATCAATCGAGAAGCGGCCAGATAGTAGCACGAAATGTGGAGTGCGGAGTACCCCAGGGGTCCGTCCTCGGGCCACTACTGTGGAACCTGGGGTATGATTGGGCACTAAGGGCGACGTTGTCCCCTCGAATGGCCATCTTCGCGTACGCTGACGACACGATGGTGGCTGTCCGGGGAGGCAACTATTGGGAGGTGGCGCGGAGGGCGTCAGTGGCGACGGACATGATTGTCCACCGCATCGAACTGTTGGGGCTCAAGGTGGCGCTGAGCAAGACGGAGGCCACAGTCTTTGGTGGACTGGGTGGGGGATGGCGGCTCCCTGCTGGCGCCCACATAGCCATCGGGACGGAGGCGGTTCGGGTCAAGGCCCACATTAAATATTTGGGGCTTGTGCTGGACCGTCACTGGAACTTCCGGGAGCATTTCAAACAGCTTGCTCCCCGGGTGGTGGGCGCCGCAGCGGCACTTGGCCGTCTCCTGCCGAACGTCGGGGGACCTGGGGCCACGTGTAGGCGTCTGTACGCGGGTGTAGCGCGCAGCATGGCCATGTACGGGGCCCCTATATGGCACGACGCCCTCACATCTGCCAACAGAGACCTTCTGCGCAGGCCACAACGCGTCGTGGCTAATAGGATGTGCCGGGCCTACCGTACGGTAGCCTGGGCGGCGGCGTGCGTTCTCGCCGGCACAATGCCGTGGGAGCTGGAGGCGGGGGTGCTGGCGGAAACGCACCGCGCAAGGGAGGAAGCCAGGGCCCGAGGCGAGCGCCCTGCTCCCGAGGAGGTTGAGCGGGCGCGCCGTATGGCGGCGCGTAGAGCGAGGGCCAGGTGGAAGAGAAGCTTGGCGGACCCCTCCTATGGAATCCGTACCATAGAGGCCGTCCGTCCGGTTCTTGACCGCTGGCTGAAGAGGCGCCACGGCGCACTGACGTTTCGACTTGTGCAGGTGTTGTCCGGGCATGGTTGCTTAGGACACTACCTGCACAAGGTCGCAAGAAGGGAGCCGTCGCCGATGTGCCACGAGTGTGGTGCTGCGGACGACACTGCGCAGCATACCCTCGAAGTGTGCAATCGTTGGAGTGTGCAGCGCCACACTCTGATTGCGACGATTGGAAGCGATCTGTCGCTGCCCAGCGTGATTTCAGCCATGTTGGACAGCGAGAGGTCGTGGGAGGTAGTGGTCTCCTTCTGCGAGGACGTGATGTCGCAGAAGGAGTCCGCGGAGCGGGAACGCGAAGACGCTGTCAACGCAGACCCGCTCCGGCGCAGGCGGTGGGGAAGAAGGCGAAGGCAGTACGCTGCTCGCCTAATTCCCTAGTGGGGCCAGCGGGCAGGGGTGGGGATACCCCTGCCAGCCTTGCACGGCCTCACTCGTCTAGGGGGATGGGTCACGCGGGCCGACCCTCCCCCACTTGGCGCGGGAATCCCGGTGAAAACCGGGATGGCCGGGGGTGTCGTTGTGGTCGAATCCTCGGGATCCCACGGCACCCACAACACCCGGCCTTGCGGGCAACGCCGGTGGAGTTTTAGTGCGGTATGCCCCCACTATGGGGGAGAGTCCCACATAACTTCCGAGCCTCCCCAGCTCGGTCGTATGCATAAAGCATTTCTCCACCGTTAAAAAAAAAAAAAAAAAAAGGTTAGGTTCCGTGTGGAGTTGCTGGTCTCCCATCGGACGCGTCCCCGGGTGGCGGATAGGGGAACGCCCTCCAGATATGGGGGGTACCGATTTATCGGCGCGGACCAAAACCGGCACGGCGGGCTCCTCCCCGTGTCCCTATGATTTGCATAGGGCACAGGGGACGGAGCAGCATGGCGGGCTCAATCCCGTCATGCGGAGGAGGGAGCACTCATGTCCAGCGAGTGTTTCGGTGTAGGGGGCAGGGGGACTGGAGGCTGAGTGTCGTGGTCACGTCTCGCGGCTCAGCCTCATCTCCATTCGTGCCCAGTGGGTGTTGCGGTCCTCGTGACCCCAGAGGCCATGCCGGCAGGGTCACCCATACCGGACGGGCTCTGAGGGGAGGGACCGCGCTTTTGTTCGGCGGAGGCCTTTTGGCCGAAGGCGGGCGCGGGTGCGCCAGGCGCGCTGACGGGAGAGCTCACTCCCGAAAAAAGAGACGACGATGTGGAGCATCGGAGTAAAATTCACAATGAAGAAGTCACATAAAAAATATGTTCCTCGGGTGGGTCCTGGAAACAGGGAATCCCACACGCCGTCTCAGGATGGCGTCTGCCCCGCGTACTACGAGGGGGGCACAAAAGGCTTCGTGGGTCGGCAGGTCGCCGGCCCTCGTGAACACGAATTTGGCACACGAAAGACGGATACCGATTTTGGAGAGAACGGAGGAGAAGTAAGGGAGTGTGGAGAGCGTTGCGCCTCCGGGGGGAGAGCGGGATCGCAGTTGCGGTCTCGCTCTCTCTCTGGGGGTAGCGCGACGCGTTCTTCGTCGAGGGCCTCAAACGCCCTGAAGGGGGGTCGGCCGACCCCTGTGCCTGGAGGGAGCACGGAGACTGTGCACTCCATGGAAGAATCATACGACCAGCCGTTAAGCATGAGGCGTCCAAAGAGAGCGGCGGAGACGGAGATTGACAGCGGGAGCGACTCGTCTGTCTGCTCTGTGGCGCCAGAGCCCAAAGGTGTGGGCTCCGCCAAGCGAGGCCGTGGCAGGCCGCCCACTACAGGACACTACGTCGGACTAGCCAAGGCGAAGGAGGCACTGGCAGAGGCCAGACGAGCGGAGCTCGAGCTCGAGGTCGAGTCCGACCTCGCCGAGTCGACAAGGAGGCTAGCGGGCGTTCCTGCGGCCTCAGTCGAGAAGCAGGTGGAAGGCGGCATAGACATCATCAGGAACGTCGCTAAAAGATCGAAGAATCTGAAAGGCACTTTTGTTAGTGCCCTGAACAAGGCTGCGGCCCAAATTGAGCTGGTCTTTGCAGCCCTTTCGGCCAGATCGGCGAATGAGGAGGTGGTGGTCCTGCAAGCGGAGAACGCGGCGTTGCGGAGCAAGATGGAAAGCCTCGGCGCGGATGTGGTCATGCTTCGCGAGGAGCTTGACCGCGATCGCGCGGAGCGGGCCCGCACGGGCGCGCGCGCTCCCCCCCCTCCACCTCTTTCCGAGGAAGAGTTAAGGCCGGCCCTTATGAGGGACATCGGCTTCATGATTGATGCCAAGCTGGCCGGCCTCGAAGACCGTCTTCTCCCTGAGAAGCGGCTGCGTCCACCCCTAAGGGCGGATCAAACCCAGCCGGCGCCTCAGGTGAGCAGCAGGGGACGACAGGGTGCCGGGAAGGGGACCGCCAAGGCGACCGAAAATGCCGCTGGCAAGGCGAATCCCCCTACCCCGGCGCCTTCACAGGGAGCACAGCCGCCTCCAGGGAGGCTCGAGGAGCCCTGGAGCAAGGTGGTGGGGCGGAAGAAGAGGAGGAAGGGAGCGCGGGATGCTGAGACGGTACCTGGGGGCAAGCCTCTGGTGAGCCGTGCAGGAACGGCGAGGCCAAATGGCGCGGCTGGCCCTAAAAGGCCGAAACGTGCCAGGAAGAGGAGGCCTCGTCAACCAGCCTCGGCGGCGGTCGTCCTGACCCTCCTCCCAGAGGCGACGGAGAAAGGCCTCACCTACGAGAAGGTGCTGGCGGTCGCGAAGCAGGAGGTGGATCTGGCCAAGCTGGAGATTGGCGGGCTGCATTTCCGCGTGGCTGCGACGGGGGCTCGGATCCTCGAAGTCCCCGGCGAAGAGAGCGCGGCCAAGGCGGACCGTCTGGCGGCCGGGCTGAGGGAGGTCCTTCCGGAGATGGTCAGGGTTGCCCGTCCCGGGAAGTGTGCGGACCTGAGCATCTCCGGCTTGGACGATTCTGCATCCGTAACCGACATTGCGGCGGCGGTTGCCCGGGAGGGAAAGTGTCCCCCGGAGCAAGTGAAGGTGGGGCCGATCCGGATAGGTCTCTTCGGCGTGGGCAGCTCACTGGTTCAGTGCCCAGTGGAGGCTGCAAAGTTGGTAGCCAAAGGTGGCCGACTCCTGGTGGGCTGGAGCGCGGCTCGCGTGCGACTCATGGAGCCCAGGCCCTTGAAGTGCTTCAAGTGCTTCGAGATTGGGCACACTGGGCTCCAGTGTCGCTCACAGGTTGACCGAAGCCGCAATTGCTTCAGGTGCGGCCAGGAGGGGCAAAAGGCGGCAGACTGCACCGGTGACTTGCTCTGTCCGATGTGCAAAGCGGCAGGGAAACCGGCCAACCACGCCGCTGGGGGCAGAAAGTGCGCCCGCCCAGGGAAAGGGAAAAGAGTGGCTGTAAAGGCCCCAGTCGCTCCCATCCGATCGCCAACGGAGCCGCCACGAGAGGCGATGGTGACCCAGTAATGGCTACACACCATCGGTTCCTTCAAGGGAATCTGAACCGCTGCGCTGGCGCGCAGGACTTGTTCCTGCAATCCATGCTGCAGTGGTCAGTGGACGTGTCGGTCGTCGCAGAGCCCTACTTCGTGCCATCTCAACCCAACTGGGTGGGGGACACGGGGGGCTCTGTGGCGATTGTGGCATCGACGGGCGCGGGCTCCATGCCCCTATCTGTCAGGGACAGAGAGCTCAGTTTCGTCTCTGCCGCCTGGGGTGGGATTTTGGTTTTCGGGGTCTACTTCTCCCCGAACAGGCCGCTGTCCGAGTTCGAGGTCTTCCTCGACCGCCTGAGGACTGCGGTGGGTAGGGCGTCATCGGGCAGCGTGGTCGTGCTTGGCGACTTCAACGCCAAGCATACGTCCTGGGGGTCCCCGGCGACCGATGGCCGTGGAGAGGCAGTGGAGACGTGGGCGGCCCAGTGCGGCCTGGTCGTCCTAAACCGCGGCTCGACCAACACGTGCGTGCGAGGGCAGGGCGGGTCCATAGTGGACTTAACGTTCGCTAGTCCTGCACTTGCATCGCGCGTGTCAGACTGGAGAGTTGTGGAGGACGTGGAGACCTTATCGGACCACCGATACATCCGGTTCGAAGTCTCCACCAGCATCGGTGTCATCCAGCCAGGTCCAGGGTTGTCGGCCTTCCCGAGATGGTCCCTCTCGCGCCTCAATAAGGAGCTGCTGACCGAGGCTGCGATTGTCCAATCTTGGACGATGCAGCCGTTTGTGTCGGCCGAGGTGCATGAGGGAGCTAGTCGGTTCCGGGGGGCACTGACTCGGATTTGCGACGCGGCCATGCCCCGTGCGAGGCGTCACGCTGCTAGGCGGCAAGTATACTGGTGGACTCAGGAGATAGCTGATTTACGCGAAGCGTGCGTGACATCGCGTCGCGAGTTCACCAGATACCGGAGGCTGCGTAGACGGGACGAGGAGACGGTGGACCTACTGCACAACATCTACACGGAGGCCAAGAGGACCCTGCAGCTGGCCATCAGCAGGTCCAAAGATGTGGGCAGGCAGGCCATGCTGGAGACGCTCGACAGGGACCCGTGGGGTCGTCCGTACCGTGCGGCGAGGAACACTCTTCGCCCACAGGCGGCCCCGCTTACGGAGACCCTGGAGCCTCAGCTGTTGGACGATGTGGTCGCGGCGCTGTTTCCGGACGGCCCGGAGCACACTCCTCCAGCCATGGCGGACCTGGAGGCTGATGATGAGGAAGCAGAGGAGGAGGAGATCCCTCCGTTAGAGTTGGCGGAAGTGAGCGGGGCCGCACTCAAGCTCCGAGCGAAGGCCACCGCACCTGGACCAGACGGAGTACCGGGCCGGGTATTGGCGTTGGCGCTGGACGTCTTGGGGACTCACCTCACCGAGCTCCTCGATGCGTGCCTGGCGTCGTGTCAATTCCCGACCTGTTGGAAAACAGGGAGGTTGGTGCTCTTGAAAAAGGACGGGCGTCCTGCGGATTCCCCTTCCGCCTACCGCCCAATTGTCTTGTTGGATGACACGGGTAAGCTCTTCGAGCGCATCATTGCCTCCCGTGTCATCCGACACCTTAACACGGAGGGTCCCAATTTGTCGGACGGGCAGTACGGGTTCCGAGAGAGCCGATCCACTATTGACGCGATCATGCGCGTCAGGGCTCTCTCGGACGAAGCGGTGGCTTCGGGCGGCGTGATGCTGGCGGTGTCCTTGGACATCGCCAACGCGTTTAACACGCTCCCCTTTGGTTGCGTCGAAGAGGCACTCAAATTCCATCGAGTGCCCCTCTACCTACGGAGGCTGATTGGGGCCTACCTGCAGGACAGGCAGGTTCTATATTCTGGGCGGGACGGCGGAATCCATCGGAGGGACGTGAAGTGCGGTATTCCACAGGGATCGGTCTTAGGACCGCTCCTGTGGAATATCGGGTATGATTGGACGCTGCGGGGCTCTCTTCCCAGGGGCGTCAAAGTCATCTGCTATGCAGATGACACACTAGTCCTGGCCCGGGGGGAGAGTCATGACGAGGCGATGGTGCGCGCCACTCTGGGTACACAACGCGTGGTGAGACGCATCGAGAGGCTGGGTCTAACGGTCGCCCTTAATAAAACCGAGGCCCTGTGCTTTCACGGTCCTCGAAGGGGGCCGCCTGCAGGCGCGGGCGTCACGATTGGCGGGACTTGGGTGGAAGTGAAGTCCCAGATGAAATACCTGGGGCTTCACCTTGACTCACGGTGGAACTTCCGGGAGCACTTTCGGCGATTGGCCCCAAAGCTTATAGCTGCCGCTGGTGCTCTCGGAAGGTTGCTGCCTAATTTGGGAGGGCCAAGTGTGACCTGCCGCCGGCTCTATACCGGCGTGGTCAGGTCAATGGCATTATACGGTGCACCGGTGTGGGTCGGGGCTCTGACTGCCCCGAACAGGGCTCAGTTGTATCGTCCACAACGAGTCATGGCAGTCAGAGCAATCCGAGGATACCGCACCATTTCGCACGTTGCGGCCTGCGCCCTCGCGGGTACTCCTCTCTGGGATCTCGATGCCGAGGTTCTGGCGGGGGTGTACGAGCGGCGCGCGGAGGCAAGGAGGAGTGGAGTGCGCCAAGCCCACGAAGACGAAGGCAGGTGGCGGCGGTCCGCGCAGAGAAGGCTGCTGCGCAGGTGGAGACAGCGACTTGCGGAGTCGCGTGCTGGGTCGTGGACGGTGGCGGCGATACGTCCGGTCCTTAAGGGGTGGATGAGCAGGCGGCATGGCTCGCTCACATTCCGGATGGTGCAGATCCTGTCGGGGCATGGCAGCTTCGGCAGGTATCTGTGCCACGTAGCCGGGAGGGAACCGTCGGCGCGGTGCCATCACTGCGCTAGCAGTGAGGACGCCGCCGAGCACACGCTGGAGGTTTGTCCGGCGTGGGTACGAGAGCGGGCCGAACTGGTAGCCGCAGTGGGCGGCAACCTCTCCTTGCCGGCCGTAGTTAGGGCTATGGTCGGCAGTGAGAGGGCGTGGGAGGCAATGGTCTCCTTCTGCGAGGAAGTGATGTCGCAGAAGGAGGCCGCGGAACGCAGTCGGGAGGACGACCCCCTCTCGGCTCCGATCTGAAGAAGGAGAACGGGGCGAAGACGACGGGCTTACGCCCGCCTCATTCAGCCCTAACGAAGGGCCTTAGCGTAGGATGTGGCCTGCCCGAACACAAGGCAGGCACGTCACAGGGAATAACCCTGTTCAGGGAGGGTCAGCGAGCGAGCTGACAGCACCGGCGGGTTCGCGGAAGAATGCGTAAGCGTACCCGTGTCCCGCCAACAGGTGATGGGAGGAGCAC